AGGCTGGTACATCAGGTAGCGCATGGCGCAAAGCAGATGACACAGCAACGCCATACCGGTGTCTCGTAGTAAAGCCTGTCTCATACAGAAGACTGTTCTGAATAGAAGCCTGATTTTCAAGATACACTATCATCACATAAGAATGGTTGTAGTGTTGACATACATAGAAATACCTGGTTTGAATAGAAGCCTGATGTGAATATAAGGGCGCGTTCGAATTGTCACTCTTTGACTTTTCGAGGAGCTTCGTTTTTCTGAAGAGGTGGCCTTATTGGCCTCTTCAGAAAAACGAAGCTCCTCGAAACTCCTCGAAACTCATCCGATGGGAAGGTGGATTAGTTTCGAAGAGTTTGGAATAGCTACGTCACGTAGTACGTGGAGATGGTCGATCTGATCGGACGTCATCATCGCCATGACAATTCCACTGAAAACTCTAAAATGATAGAAACCGTTCTAATGGGACACTTCAACTAATCTCTTTATAAAATTTGTTAGAACAGTTGATGAAGACAATTCGAACGCGCCCTAACCCTAGCCCTGACATCGGCTTCTACAGAAATAAGCCCGGCTCTAATACACGACAATACGGGGGTAGCTTGATTGCGACATATGTTTCGTTTCTTTTCGGCTCAGATTAGTGAGAAAAGGACTCACCTGATATTCGGACAGAGTCACGACAGATGGCACACCAATCTCATTCGTATCACATGTCTGCCAATCCGGTGCAAATCGACAAAACCCTGAGATGCACAGAAGAAAGAAAAAAGGAAAGCAGGGAGATAACGCCAAAACGCTGACAAACTTGACTGTGCATGCATGCGTGCGCGCACACAACCACGCACACACACACACACACACACACACACATACACACACACATATACACATGCAGAGCCAGGTCATGCTGCACAGCTGCTGTGCACAGTGACAGCTGCATACATACCTTCATTGGGTGGACACAACGGAATAGGACAATGCTTAGGCTGGTATCGTCCTGAACAAGAAAGGTAACAGAAGAAAAGAAAAACAAGCACACAATCAACCATACAGAACAGTAAAATCTGTCAAGGCGACCACTCGGATAAGGCAACCACCTGTCCTAGAAGACCATTGAAACTAGGACCAAGAGATGCTATTTCTAGTCAATTGACCCTGGATAAGGAGACCACCTGGCAACAGAGACCACATTTTGAAGGTCCCTTGAGCGGTCGTCTTAGACAGGCTTCACTGTGCTATTGGGTGCCGAAGAACGACCAGGCTAGAACGTCACCAAGCACAGCATACCAATGTATACACAGTGACTCAACTGTGCATAGACTACAATACATGAAAAAAAGAACAGCTAGGAGACTGACCCCCCCCCCCCCGGTCTTCGGCAACAGAGAGTACTATACACCTGAAGAGCAGCACACAGAGCCCCACCTACTTGTAGCAGACACCGTAAACAGTATGTGTAATATTCCGGGGGGGGGGGGCTTTTCGGTGTCAGGCACCTGCCATGTTTTCGGTGTTATTTAGAATTCGGTGACCAGAGTTCCCTTCATATACAGTGCATACTCTAGTGCCTTTCAGCTGTAGCGGCAATCTAAATTTAGGTGTCTGGTTTCTCTACCGAAATCATCTAACTTTTACTTTAAACAGTTACACCGAACATAATAATGTTATACAGTAGCTTGCATCGGATGTTCCCAGCATAGCCATCTGGTGAATGGATGTTGGAAAGTACATGTAGTTCATTGAACATCATCCCAAAGACAAAGCATCCTTCTAGACTCGTGCTCTGCACAGTTTACATCTTTAGACATTACGTCATGTACATTCTGGAGCGCACCAGTACAGTACAGTGTGCACTGTGCAGCCACACTTCTGTTTACCTACGTGTTCCAGTACCGGTATACCCAGATGTGTGCATGTGCTGCGTGTTGTTTTAGCTGAGCAAACAATTTACGTCAATTATAATAAAATCCCGAGACTCACTAACGGAGAAAATTGAAAAACTATTGAGAAACACAACCAATCCACAAAAAACGCGTTAACGGACACCGATTCGCTTTCACAGAAACGTTTCACAGACACGTTTTTTCGCCAGAATTCATCAGTGACTACTTCTGGTAGATTTGAAAACCATGAAAATCTTCTCGCACATGTTACGACATTACAGACAACAGGCATTGAACAATACGAATTTAACAGAACAAACGCGTAAGGTGTTCCGACGAAGCTTTACCACGGGATCATGGAGCAACACAGCACGACTTACTGGTTGAGAAACGTCGAGTGACGAGTTTGTCACTGTCACCCAGCGCCAGGCTTCCATGCACGCCGTAGCTCGATTTTCGGCCCCAAGTGCCACTGCCAGGCCATAAAATAACTGGAGATGAGGCAGCCATTGTAGTCTAGACGACTAACAACAAAGGTATAATGGCTGAACCAGTTGCTGCGGTATTCCTCATCTTCATATTCCTCGAATCAATTAATATTTTCATTCCTTTTTGAATCATGAAAATCTTGGCAGCTCAACTAGAGCCTCAAGAGTGAAGAAGAGTGAAGAAAACGACGATGCCGGTGTCGTGATCGTGTCACGATCGTGCACGACACGTCACACTAAACTTTTTTACACACTATAAACATTTTGTGACATCATCTGCATTATCTTCATTACTCATTAGTGAGTAGTAAAACACCGGTATTTTACTACTCAAGTGAGTGCACTCCAGGGAGTACATGTTACATAACAAATCGGATTTTTAGTACGGCCTGGCCTGGTGAGCCTCCTTTTTTACTCGACTGCGTCACAGTCTGCGTGCGTTCTGTACAAAAAATGTAGGTCCACCCAACACTGAACAGTCCTGTACGTAGATAGATCTCTGCTAGTGCTACTGCTAGGCTGGTAAAAAGTGGTATGTAGACTGATCTGGCTAGCCTAGCCTGGCATGCAGTGCACTGTGCAGTGTGCATGTGGGAGGAAGCTCAAACTACAGTCAAAGACGACGCGACAAGTGAACAGCAGAAAGATTTTGTCCAGCGCACCTGCGTCGGTGTCCTGTGCCTGTGGTGCATGAGTTCTTTCTTGTCTGCTCGTTGGATCGAGCTCTGCTGAATCTTGGAACTGGTCAAGGTAGTCTCGTGCTCTCCTGATCTGTGCGTCCATCGCCCTCTGCCAGGTATGGAGAAACGTGCACATATTTTCTAGGATATTTGCGCGACGCATAGGGGTTCGGTAGGGTCGAGCAAATCAGCACGGTCGATGCCTGCGACGTGAAATCGTCAACCATTGCATGGGCTAGTCGCTGAGCTAGCTGTGCGCTAGCTAGGTGGTGTCCAGGAAATTCTAGTTACCGTATCCCCGATCGCTAGTTGATTCAGGCTAGCGTCGCTGGTTTCAGGAGCTTTGAAGTATTGGTGCTTGGGAATGTGGAGTTACAGTTTGAAATTGTTTTGCAATCTCACCCATCGAGTCTGTACAGCAAGCTAGGAACGTGAAGGTATGTGTCAAAACGTCCATTCTGTCAATCTATCACGAATTCGTCTGTTTGGGCTCCTTGAGTGAAGCAAGGTTGAATACGAAGAGGAGCGGGTTACTGATCTAGGCTATTTTTTGCTCCTGGTGAACGAGACGATTCTGGTTTTCCCTTCGCTGTTCGAGTTACATTTTTAGCCTTGTGTCCCCTACTGGCCCTAGCTCGCACCCCTTTCGTTCGAGCGTGGGTGTGAAATCGGTGCGCTGCTGCGTGTTGTGTGTGTTCGCTCGGTAGCACTCGTGCCTCGGAGTCGTACATCTACTTCCGTAGCTGCAGCTAGTGTAGGTTGTGCATGCGGAGCGCTAGGTTAGCCGGCCTTGGTGTTTAGAGTTTGGGGGTGCGTGAGGACATCGTCGTTACTAAAAACGCTTCGAAGTAATGCTGTTACTTTGGATGCTTTTTTTACTTCTGCAGTGCTAGTGGCAGTAGTGCACTAGTGCCAGTACTGCAGTAGTGGCAGGTGTGTACGAATCGCTCGCGTGGCTAGTTTTGTTGACAGGACGTAACGACGTGGATGATGTGCAAGACGCCACCGCACACGGTATTCTAGATCCCAGAAAAATAAAAAACTAACGGGATGCTGTCACGTCTGTCTCAGCGCCTGAACATGAGCGCTAGCTAAAACACTGTAGACCATGGTAGACGTGCCGGGAAAGGTGCGAGAGGCCGATTTTCAATCGGGTCGTTGGTATGAATGATGCGTTCTCTCTGTTCGGTGTTATAATTATAATTACCGCCGGTGTTGTAAAGTAGAGCTAGAGGTGCACGGAGAAACGGCCGTTTCACATTGCTCAGGAAGGCCGCCGAAACTCTCCGCTTTCGGAACATCCTGCGTACAGTGATGGCGTGCGCCAACTGCCGCCGCTAACTTAGGCTAAGTGCTGCGAATGGATTTGCTTGCTTCCTCGTTGGTAGCTTTATATACTTGCTGGTTGAACGAAACTGTGCGGCGCAACCCGCCTGATCAGTTGATGAAAATAATACACACAGCTACATACTGAAACATAGCAGCAAGGTCTTCACTAAGTCACTTGGTTCATTTATGAGTAAGAAGTACAACTGAGGGCGCTACAGGTGTAGAACGGTCTGTGATAGAGTCGAACAAAAATTCCGGACAAGTCACGAGAGCGTGTAAGAAATCATCGGTTGAGTTCTTATCTGCTGACACGTACAGTTCTCTTTCTCCTGTTGTCTGCTAACGGCAGCTGAGGGCCTGTGGTCATTCGGCCATGAGAATCGGAACGGTTTCTGGATGTACCTCGTTCAGGTCACAATTATTTGCTGCTTGTCCTCTCGACTGAAATCTATTGTGCCCTTTCTGTTAGCAGCGCATATCCACACGTGCGCAAACAATTTCTAATAATGATTTGCTGCAGCTCACGTGTAAATAATTGTAGCGAGAGAAGGAAGGATCTTTGCAGTAAACCTATGGCCGGCTATAGCCTGGGGGCACTTGCCAAAGGAAAACTATTGTTGGTGCTAGCACAACTACTACTGAGTGCCAGTACCAGGGTACGTGTATGCTCATGGTCACGGTGTCATTAGGCTAAAATGTTGCTTCTTTCATCACCATACTACAGCAGACATGTCGACAGTGGAATGTTGACGATTGGAATGTGTTGTGACTGTAGATTGCTATCCAGTATTGTGTACACATACACGATGTTACAGTCAAGTGGGCCAGTACTGGTGCTCTTCAGTCTTCACCCCCCCTCTCTCTCCCATGGCAAAGAAAACATGCAACTCTGCCCAGTGCAGTACTGAGTCTGTTGGTTGCCAAAGAACTGGGAGGTCAGCCTCCTAGCCTAGACCGTTCTTCTTTTCATGTATTACAGTCTATGCACAGTTGAGTCACCGTGTATACATTGGTATGCTGTGCTTGGTGAGATTCTAGGCTGGCTCCGTTCTTCGGCGCTCCTGTCTTCGGCGCCCTGCAGTATGCCATACCCACCAAAGATCCAGATAACAACGCTGGGCCCGCTAGGAATAGTGCAATGGGGGTGCAGACGAGAGGAGGGCATGGGTTGGTGAGGGCCTAACATTGAATATCGCCGGCCCGTTTGGAATTATAACTAACTTAAAATGGAGTCGCACATGACACAATGGTCTGTGGGCATAGTAGGAGAGCATTTAGTGTGTGTGTAGCATTGAATTGACATTATGCCTACCATCTCCCTTGGAGTTTATAGCTGCTTGTTATGCGCTGAAAGGCCACCATTGGCCACTTCCGTGCACTTCGCAGAGAGAGCGCATTAGGCAGAAAAAATACTGTATTCAGTACTGGACTGTCAGCCACCGAAGAACGGAGCGTTGAAGAACAGCCAGGCTGGAATTTCACCAAGCATAGCATTCCAATGTATAGACGGTGGCTCAACTTTGCATTGACTGTATTTTAAACACAAAAAAAAGTAAGAACGGGGTCTAGGCTAGGAGGTTGACCCCCCTCCCAGTTCTTCGGCGACCGACACTACTGTGCTGAAGTACATGTACACCGCGAGGCGCTGGTCCAAACATCGGTCCATGATAGCGGAATGACGTTATCTTGGAAAACATTGGTAGACTGATTGTTGGTCCGGTGCTGTGTTCACTGTTTGTGTGTTGGTATGCAGGATGTTTGGGAGGCGTGGGACGTACGAGATCAATGAGCCCAGGGCGTCCAACAGTGACCGACATCCGTCATCGCAGGCGCTGGCACGGGGTCATGTACGCTGCTCCATCCACCTGCTTGATGACAACATCATCGCCGAGGATTTCCCGGTATGTGGTGTTTTGTCTAATATAGTTTTGCTGATGGAGTGACTGTTGCTGCTGCTGATGCTGCTGCTGCTGTTGATGCTGCTGCTGCTGCTGCTGTTGCTGCTGCTGCTGCTGTTGCTGCTGCTGTTGCTGCTGTTGCTGCTGCTGCTGCTGCTGCTGCTGCTGGTGCTGGTGCTGCTGCTGTTGCTGCTGCTGCTGGTGCTGGTGCTGGTGCTGCTGCTGCTGCTGCTGCTGTTGCTGTTGTTGATGCTGTTGTTGATGCTGCTGTTGATGCTGTTGTTGATGCTATTGTTGTCACTGCTGTTGATGCTGCTGTTGCTGCTGCTGCTGCTGCTGTTGCTGTTGTTGATGCTGTTGTTGATGCTGTTGTTGATGCTATTGTTGATGCTGCTGTTGTCACTGCTGTTCATGCTGCTGCTATGGGGGTGGTGCTGCTGCTGTGGTAGATATTGCTGTTTCTGGTTGGTTAGGGAAACATCTAGTTAGGGGAGTCACCCTGCTTTGCCTTTGTTTGCGGTGGTGACTGCTTGCTCACTGTATTCCAAAAGAAGGATCCACGATTGGGATTTGAACCCAGCACCCCTGATTTCCGGAACAGTGCCCTACCGATTAGGCTACTGGGATCACACACGCACCCGTGGCTCTTTCTTGCTACAATTGCTCCTGGTGCTCCGCCTCACCTGTTCTCTATGTGTTTCAAGTGTTTTCTAACTCCTATCCTCTCTTTTCTCGTGCTCGTATCTAGCACAGCCACAGCTGTCTCGTTGTGTACATTCCATCAATTTGTGCGCTGTTTTCTTTATATCTGTCTTCTGTGATCGAAACTCAGAAACGTGTGTCTGGAAAAGTACTTATCGACCTGGTCAACAGCCGGATTGACTTGCAAGAAACGGACTATTTCGGACTGCAGTATGTTGACAGTACTGACCGGTTGGTACGTTCTCCAGACTTTCTTCTGTGCTACTCCGCCCCGTGTGTGTGTGTGTGTGTGTGTGGTGTGTGTGTGTGTGTGTGTGTGTGTGTGTGTGGTGTGTGTGTGTGTGTGTGTGTGTGTGTGTTGTTATGTCTGACATAGCTGTTGGCTATCATTGCTTCCGCGATGGGCAGGTCTGAGGTGTGTATCCCTTTGTATGTGTCTGAACCTGTGTGTCACACACAGAGCATGATCAGGCAGTATACCCAACCCACCCATACCACAGTCTCCTCCACAATTATTTCTCCAATTGTGACCACGACACACTCTTTGTCCTTTGCCGTAGGTCAACAGGCCGTGATGTGTGTGTGTGTGTGTGTGTGTGTGTGTGTGCGCGCGTGTGTGTGTGTGTGTGTGTGTGTGTGCGTGCATGCGTATGTGTGCGTGTGTGTGTGTGTGTGCATATGTGTGTGTGTGCGTATGTGTGCGTATGTGTGTGTGTGTGTGTGTGTGTGTGTGTGTGTGTGTGTGTGTGTGTGTGTGTGCATCTGTGTGCATATGCGTGTGTTTGTGTTTTTCAGCAATGGCTGGACCCACTGAAGAGTGTCCGCAAGCAAATCAAAGGTAGGTAAAGCTAAGGTTAGCGGATTTTTGAAATTTTCACGGGTAGGTGGGCAGAGGCTATTGGAGTGTTGAAATTTTAAGGGTGGTTAGGCTGGGGCTGTCGGGTTGTTGAATTTTCTCTTGGAGCCCATTGAGACGAGTGTGAAAGGCAAAACGTTGGGACATTTTCCTTGGTTTATCGGATCATGCTGCGTTTGCGTGGTTCTGCCTGGTTCTGTGGTTCTAAAACTATTCGCAGTGCAGTATTTTCACTGGAAAGGTTTCCCCGAGTGTGTGTAAAACAGCCGAGTTCTTGTGTTCTCTCAAGTTAGTGATCTTGTGAAAGACACCAGATGCAGAGCATGCACCGCATGTGAAAGGAAAACTGCTCGCCTCATTCTGTATCACACCTGAAACCTGGCAGGCCCCTGACACCGAAATTCCATTCTGTATCACACCTGAAACCTGGCAGGTCCCTGACACCGAAATTTTAAAACACCTAAAATTACTTGTTTTACAGTATTCTGCCGTGCATGACTGCATATGCATATGCATACATTTTAGTAAAACCCATATTTGGCTCATGTGTTACCTCTTTTTGGCTCGATTCCACTTCGTTTCCGTTCCATTCCATGTGTTTTGATAAACTTTTGAACCTCTCGTTTCACATATACTGGCACACACAGAGACATAGACAGCAATAGCGACAATACACAAAGTGAAGGGTAGTTGGCCGCAGCCAGATGTGAACCGGATAACGAGTGTGGTATGGAAGCAAGGACTGAGAACAGAGAACAGAATGTCTCAGATAGAATAGGTGTGTCAGCGGATAGCAGAAATAGGCCATGATGCAGAACCACTTGGGTCCGTCAGATTAACTTTCCTGGACCGAGCCAGCCGGGAAAAAACCCTCGCGCCGACGGACGCAGTAGTGAGGGAAAAAAACGGGTGTATATCCCCAATGGCGATTGGGAATCATGTAGGCATGGCAAGCACGTCACGGCAAAAAGTGATAAAAAAGCTATAACGCGATGCACAGAAATGAAGGGTGGGAGGGCAGGGACAATGGTGAGACTCAAAACAAACTGAAGAAGTCGGGAAAAGAAACGACAATAAAGAACACACCAGATGCCGTATTTGCAACTGAAAATGTTTCGCGGGAAATCATTTCTCGCCTATCTCGCTGTGCTCGGCCGGCGAGAAATACAACTACTATTTTCATTACCAGCCAAGCTAGCCCTGGTTCCAATTGCTGACCGCAGCCACCTGCTCGAAATGGAGGAGCCACGCCGGGAAGTTATCTTCCATGCAACCCTTGTACTTCTCCGGCTGGACGTTGTAAAGGCCCCTCTGCGAGGCGAGCGCAGCTGCTGGGTTAGCAGCGGCCGGAGGTGCGGCCAGCACTGCAGCAGGTTGTGCCATGCTGGTTGTACTTAACCCTTTCCAGTGTCAGGCTAGATGTAGTAGCGTCAGAGCTCCGATATAGGTCCACTTGGGACTTGTTCACCAGACCACTCAGTAAGTACAGGGCAATACATGCCACTGTCACTGGCACCCAGGGACGCAGCCTGGAAAAAGGCCCGGCCTTGGAACGAGCTATGCACTGCGCCGCATACCGGTTCGTTTCGTTGGCGAGCAACTGCCAGAATTCCAGTACAAAGTAAAGGTTCAAAAACCAGTATGGTGTGGCATCATCTGGTGAATGCACTGTGATTCCAGGCCGTGCAGAGAATTCAGGAATAGTAGGTTTGTCATTCCTTTCCGTCCAAGCTGCATCGTCACGTGCTGCAGGAGACGTGTCTGGTCCATGTACACAAGGTTGTGCATCAACAAATATTTCCTAATGAGCAGTGTTCCCGTCTGCGTCCTGTGCTGGCGTAGCTTGTGCTGCTGCTGCGCCCTGCTCGACATCGACATATCCACAGTCCTCAGGGCCGTCCAAGGTGACCACGGCAGTAGGTACGACATCGACCACGGCGGACTCATCCGCGAAATTTGTTCCGTCACGATCGCGGACGGCTATGTCCGCATCCGAGACATCGCCTTCACTATCGCAGCTCCAGTCATCACTGTCCGAGTCCATGATGGACTGGAGCGCCTCATGCGTCGTCTCGCCATGTCTGAGTGACAGCTAGAGAGGCCTAAAGTACGTTCCGTCAATCTAATTGTTTCGGAATCGAAATAATGATTTTTGCGTGCTCTGAATGCATGCTCCCGTGAACATACTTGCTCAAACACGGCGAGCGAGGTCTTATTCAGTAGGGGGAACCCCTAGTTTCCCCTCGAAGAGCCACAATCGGTCTAGCTAGATCGCAGTGCATGGCCGTAGAGATATAGTAGTGCACGCCACAAGGACGAGATATCTCGTCCTTGGCCACTCGCGTGGGGGTCTGTAGGACGAGTTGTCTCGTCCTTGGCACTGAAAGGGTTAACAAGAACTGAGAAAGGGAAATGAAAAAAAGAAGAAAATTTACCAATTGTTGAATTTTCTCTTGGGGCCCATTGAGATGAGTGTGAAAGGCTACATGTTCGGAAAATTTCCTTGGTTTATTGGCCTACGCTATGCTTGCGTGGTTCTGCCGCAAACCTATTCCCAGTGCAGTGTTTCCACTGGAAAGGTTTTCCCGTGTGTGTGTGTTTGTGTGTGTGTGTGTGTGTGTGTGTGTTCGTGTGTGTGTGTGTGTGTGTGTGTGTGTGTGTGTGTGTGTGTGTGTGTGTGTGTGTGTGTGTGTGTGTGTGTGTGTGTGTGTGTGTGTGTGTGTGTGTGTGTGTGTGTGTGTGTGTGTGTGTGTGTGTGTGTGTGTGTGTGTGTGTGTGTGTGTGTGTGTGTGTGTGTGTGTGTGTGTGTGTGTGTGTGTGTGTGTGTGTGTGTGTGTGTGTGTGTGTGTGTGTGTGTGTGTGTGTGTGTGTGTGTGTGTGTGTGTGTGTGTGTGTGTGTGTGTGTGTGTGTGTGTGTGTGTGTGTGTGTGTGTGTGTGTGTGTGTGTGTGTGTGTGTGTGTGTGTGTGTGTGTGTGTGTGTGTGTGTGTGTGTGTGTGTGTGTGTGTGTGTGTGTGTGTGTGTGTGTGTGTGTGTGTGTGTGTGTGTGTGTGTGTGTGTGTGTGTGTGTTTGTGTGTGTGTGTGTGTGTGTGTGTGTGTGTGTGTGTGTGTGTGTGTGTGTGTGTGTGTGTGTGTGTGTTTAAAACGGCTGAGTTCGTATGCTTTCTCGATGCCGAAAGTTAGTCAACATGTCTTGCAAGTGAAGTTGTTCACTTGCAACACAAGATAGCGAACGGTCGATCATTGTAAGGTGTAATGAGAATGTTTGGCCGCATCACCCGTACGTGTCTTGTTTGTTTCCTGCTGGCGGTGCTGTCTTGCAGGGCGCAAAGAAATGGAGTTCTTCTTCCGAGTGAAGTTCTACATCGCCGATCCCAGCAACCTTCAAGAGGAGCTGACAAGGTATTGCGCAGAATAGCTATGTAGGGAATCCCCCCAGTGGCTACAGCAGATTCTCGAGGCAAATGACGCTCCGTGATATGAAGAGTACATGACCCCAAGAATGTTCAACTGCCTACGCAACCTCTACGCATTGCTGCGATGGCCAAACTTCACAACACGTGACATGTTCAATAGGTTGCCCTGGCAAACAGTGCAAAGTGACCACCAAGAGAGTTGAACCCAAAGCAGGCCTGCGTACAACCCTGTATCTATCATGCGTATGGTGCAAATCATGTGTACGCATTTGTCACGACATACTCTGAAAACCTCCTTTGTGCCTTTGTGTGTATAATTGTGCTCCACATTATTGTGTTGACACCTCTCCGCTGGCTAAGGGGAACCTATTTGTACATTGTATCTATGTGCGTGGAAATACCGGTATAGCAAATCTTCGTACATCAACCACTCCAGCCTCACCTTCGGACTATTGCAATGTCTAACAACCAACAGCAATGGTATTGGCCGGGCACTGCTAGCACATGGGGCAGTTTCACGGGTACCTTTATGTGTGATTTTAGGGGTGCCTTTTCCTCACAGCCAAATCCACGTGAGCTCATGTTGATTCTCGTATATATTGTGTTCGTGCTCAGGTTTCTCTTCTTTTTGCAAGTCAAACAAGACATTCTTAGAAACAGGTGAGTAGTGTGCGTACTATCCACCAGATTGTAAGCCCTTGATCTTCTTTACCCCCCCCCCCCCCCCCCCCTTCCGAACAGCCCCTCTCACTCTCACAGACTTGAATGCATGCATACGCACCTACAAGGACACACAGTATGTGTAACACCCATCCTCTTTCCTTTCTCTCTCTGTCTCTCTGTCTCTCTGTCTCTCATGATCTCTCTCTATCTCTCTGTCTCTCTCTCTCTCTCTGTGTCTCTCTCTGTCTCCCTCCCTCTGGCTGTCTCTCTCTCTCTCTCTCTCTCTCTCTCTCTCTCTCTCTCTCTCTCTCTCTCTCTCTCTCTCTCTCTCTCTCTCTCTCTCTCTCTCTCTCTCTCTCTCTCTCTCTCTCTCTCTCTCTCTCTCTCTCTCTCTCTCCCTTTCTCCCTCCTTTCTTGTTCATCAATGTCTATTTCTATTCTTGTGATTACTACAACAGGTTACCAGTTAACTTCAGTACTGCAGCCATCCTCTCGGCATATGCACTACAAGGTATGTTGATACATACGTTGATAGCTTGTGCAACCAATCTTTGGTAGGAATGCAACCTTGTCTGGATGACCACTGATATTTCTTCAGCACAGAACAGTACTGAATGTTCTGAAGCAACATGGTTTGAGTGACTACCGGCATCCACGGTACGTTGTCCGGTCCGAGCAGTGGCCACTGTGCCAGGTTTCACAACCCCCTCCCAGGTTTTACAACAAAATCCCAGGTTTTACAACAAAATCCCAGGTTTTACAACGAAGTCCCAGGTTTTACAACGAAATCCCAGGTTTCACACAGTCATTGTGCTTTCTGCTTTTCACTGCCTGTGTTGCTTTCCTGTGTTTGTTTCTGCATGCAGCCGAAGTGGGTGATTACGATTCAAAGGACCACACACCAGGTTACGTGTCCATCTATCGCTTCGTTCGCAATCAGGTGTGTGCTCTCTGTTTTTGTTTTTTGGGTTTTCTTTGATACGATATGTCTGTGATGGCAACATCTGTAAATGCTCTCACACGTTCCACGTCCTATTAAATGCAGTGCAGCATTGCTAACTAAAGTGTGAAGTCACATGACAAGAGGGAAGTCACATGACAAGAAGAAAGAGAAGGGTACTGTAGAAACGACTCCCTTTTCTGGGCGTATTGGCACTGGGGGATGCCCTCAACTCGCACAATACAAGTCATACTGATTGCATGCAAGTGAACACTTTTAAGTTTTTATGGCAGTCGTTTTTTGCTTCCGTTTTTGTTGAAAAGCCCTTTTTATGACTCGAGAGGGTCAGGCAGATGCTCGGTAGATGGAAGTGCCCACATCTGGGTGTCCGGATGGGGAGGGGGGGGGGGGGGGGGGGTGGTGGGGTGGGGTGGAGTTGAAGTTTGCAGTGAAACCTATCTGAGTCCACTTTTCCTTGCTTTGTTTTCCTGTTGACAGACGGAAGAGCTGGAAGAGCAGATTGAAATGCACCACAAGACGTTAACGTGAGTGTGGCAATCCCATGTCTCGTGTCATGCTGTGCTAAATGCATGTGTGTGTGTGTGTGCGTGCGTGTGTGTTATGTGTGTTATGTGTGTGTGTGTGTGTGTGTGTGTGTGTGTGTGTGTGTGTGTGTGTGTGTGTGTGTGTGTGTGTGTGTACACTGTATCAAAACTTGAGCTCTTGCTCATTATGACACTGGGTTTGGGCACGTACAATTCGTTTCGTGCTTTCTCTTCCCGTTTACCTGTGTCATGGCCGCGCTTGGCGGGTTTGTGACTGGTCTTAGATCAGTCTAGTGGCTACCCAGGTAGACGACCAATATAGTCGCCATCCAAGTTGCTAGCTCACACCTGTTTTCCGGCTCACACAAGGTAGTCGAAGGTTGAAGGGGAGCGATCAAAGATACTTTTATTCGTTGGAAGAAGGCGGCTTTTATGTGATTTTGGTTATAGTATAATTGTGATATAATAATTAGTAGGAAATATTAGTATAGCTTCGGGGAGCTCGCTCACCCACATTACATGAAAGAGTTACAATATGAGTTGGTGTCCGAGGTTATTCGTACGTCGATCGTGCGACGGAGCCTGGAGTACGCTGTCGGATGTTGCCGCAGCTAGAGCGCGCCGCCTTCGTACGGTGTCTTGATTGGGTCACCCTTCATCTTCTGCCCCGTAGGCTCTTCCCTCTCATTACCCCGTAGGGCGCTGCACGGTCAAGCCGCGACCTCTCCCAAAAAAGGGATAACGGAGTCCGCAGTGCGCTAAACACTTGCAGGACCCTTTACGTCGTACGACGCGAGAAGAGGTGCCATGCTTGCTCGACTAACAAAGGTATCAGCTCCCTTGCAGGACTAAGCAGGGTCCCCTCAAGCTCAACAGTGTAGTGAGTACAATGCTAACGACTTGTACTGAAGGTGTAGCCGCCGTACGACAACACTTGTGACTCGAGGCCACGAGTTGTAAGCCATGATTGCTCAACTAACGAAAGTGCCAAATCCTTCGCGGGACTAATCATGGTTCTTACAGAACTCTAGAATATTTCGGAGCCCAGCTTTTGGCTGCTGAATCTCATTGCGTGGTCGCTTTCACGACGAGTCGAGTCCGGGTCATGACACCTGTGACAGGGCTCTCAGTCTGTGTTTGTTTTGAAATCCCATAGGTTGCCTGCACCACTTACTTCTCTCTGAGGGAAGTTTGGATATTCCATTTGGAGGATTTGGCCTTCGTGAATACAGACATTGGGTGTAGCAACAACTCGCGAGTAGTAATGCCACAGTCGTCAGACCTAGTGACCATTTCCTTGACTGCATACTTTCAACGTCATGAATAACAACAACATTTCACTAATACACTCAGACCTTGCTTATCCGGTCCTCTTTTATCCGGATCCCTCGCCATCCGGAGGAAAATAGCTGGTTGCAGATGTACAGCCTGCGTGATGCATCCAACGAAAACCGGTGTTCGGTTATCCGGTTCCCTCGCCTATCCGGATATTTTTGTAGAAAACGGACGTGTGCGGTTAAGCGAGGTCTGACTGTAATAGTACTTATCATGCACGATCGATGTTTGTTATTCGCAAGGTTGACTGTGCTAGACTCCTTCCAAAATTTAATGTGGCTCGTTGTGTGTGTGTGTCCTGTTATTCTTCTTCTACTTGTGTCCGTAACGGCATCAGTGGCATGCTACCAGCGGATTGTGAATTCCATTTCTTGGAGAGGTCGCAGCGTCTCGAGCTTTACGGAGTCGATCTGCACTTCGCTCAGGTAGGCAGGTCACTACTACTAGGTGATGGCCATACCTTTAGGTCACTACACTACTACTAGGTGATGGCCATACCTTTAGGTCACTACTACTAGGTGATGGTCATACCTTTAGGTCACTACTACTAGGTGATGGCCATACCTTTAGGCGTTTGGGACGGCTTTCTTATGCAAGAATGCCCTGGTTTTCTTCTCAATTGACATGCTGCTGTTATTTTATAGGGATTTAGGTTGGCTTTCTCGGGAATGTAGCGGCACTCTTTTCAGTCGGTGCCACCATTGTGTTAGCCTGCTGATGAAGATTTTTCCATTACGTTGTGTGACTGAAGTGAACTGTAGTTGCAGACTTTCAGAATCTGTGTGTGTGTAAGGGGGGGGGGGGGATAAGTCGCCCAGCTCTAGCTGTCTCTCTAATCAAATGAAGCTGGAGCGAATCTCAATGTTGCTGATAGGCCTGAGGCTGAGCTGTTGTTGAGTTGTCTGCTTCGAAAGTTACGGTGTGATGTCCTACAATAGTACATTGTTGATGTGCTGTTGTTTTCTTTGACAGGATGCGGAAGGTGAAGAGTTGATGTTAGGCGTGACGCACAGCGGTGTGGCGGTGTTTCAGAACAAGAACAAGATCAACTCATTCCACTGGTGAGTGCTTGGTACCTACCTTCTTGCCCAGCGCTGCGAGGCATGTGCATAAAGGGGAATTAAAATAATCACTAGCAAACATGGAGAGTGTTGAGAGGATGTATGGGCATAATCAAGAGTATAACCCCCAAGAGTGTGCAACTCGGCATATGGGGTCTCCGACGGCGAAAACTCACGTCATGTGTCTCAGATACGTTCGTATTACGTACAAACGAAGTATAGCGTGCGCGCAATCCGAATATCTGCCATGATCATGCTGGGGATTTGCACACCCACAGTGAGTTTCTGTCAGAGAGTGCTTTTTTTATTACTCCGCTGCTCGCTAAAAACGTGCTGGAAACGTACAACTGCGACACTGCACCACGTGATGTGAGTTTTCACCGTCGGCGAACCCCATAGAAAGGGTATCATGAGTTGCACACTCTTGGGGGGGGGGGGGGGGGGATATATACTCTTGGTATAATGGATGGCTACAGGTGGGGTCTGTGGGGTCTGCGCATGTTGAAACGCGTACTAGCAAACACAGCCCTGCTAATAAACAGGGAAAGAGGACAGGAGAAGTGACACCCTACAGGAAGATAAAGGGGAAATGCTGGAATCATGTGCCTTCGTGCTCGATCTCTGTGCATGCAAGGGTGCGCGCATCAGTTTGTAACTGTTAAAATAATCATAAATACATGCCAGATGAAATTATTCACACATTGGTGATGTACAGTCAACCTTGTGGATAACAACCTCGGGTATAACAACTGCACACACAGACGTTCAAGACAAGGTGTGGGCTAGACTGGAACTCGCGTTGGACAAACAGGGGTTAGGCGTACGCCCAGGCCACCACATGGTAGGACGAATGTGGAGGGGTCGCTAGTAAGGTTAGGCTTACACCGCATTTGCACATGCTAGGGCAGATATGGAAGTAGGCCGCTAATGGGGTTACTCCTACTCGAGTTCCCCCGACTTATTGGAGACAACACTCACACCAGAGCAGCGCATATCTGGATGAGGAAAGTGAGTGTACGGGCCTGCTATACAACCTTCGATGCATTCATTAGACAAGTAATTAGAGATGGCTTGGGGCGTTCTGAAATGCAGAGACTAAATTGGGAGCAACACAAATGAGAGCGATCACCGGAGTAGCCGATCACAGCACCGTACTGCATGCCATGCAGGTAACGAATGCGCGATGAGGGTGCCTGGCCAGAGCCGACTCAAGCCGATCCAAGTGAACGGGCACCCAGGGCGACTGTTGGTGTAATGGAACGCCTGACGGCCGGTTGCCCTGTGCGACAATCTCGTGCGCTGTGTCCGGAGACGTTGCAGGTGCTGCATTGATGAACGTACGGACAGGGGTTTCGGCGACACATGCCCCGCGTGAAGAATCGACACTGCTCGGTTCACGAGCGTGCGGCACCAGGGGCCGCCACGGAGCTTGGCCGAAAGGGCCGCACGGCACGGGCATCGAGCGCAGTAGTGACTGTGTACAGTGTCTGTGGTGTTGTGTCCCATGGACGTGACGGCTGAGACGCGATGCTGTGGCGGAAGGCACGGTCGTACTCCACAACTGCTGAAAACGTGAATTTCTTGCTGGCGTTCAGAATAATTATGGTACTGATACGTCAACAGTTCTGGTGCTCTGCCCGGATGCGCATCTAGATAAATGGCTAAAAATATTGTCCATGCTTCAAGGGCAATTTTTGATGTCCGAAATGCGTTGGGACATCCGAGGCTGGGCCGAGGACAGCGTGAATTTACCGGATGCCTCCTCGCCCAACACCAGAGCGTGGGGGCTTGGCACGTCTGTTGAGGTCGCCGGTAACAGTTACTGCCAGTCTCCACAAATTGATGCGTGTCGACTTAATCGATCACGCTCTGAGGTACACTTGCCCATATTTTTACTTGCCCGTCATGCAGGAGACACTGGGCGAAGGTAAAAGTGGACGTACCTGTTGTTTTCGATGCGTCTTCCAGGCGGTCCAGCCTGTCCACGAATGGTTTGAGGGCAATCACGATTGCCGCAGCCACGGAAGAGACAGGCATAGTGGGTTCGCGGATCTCTCTGTCCTCGACAGTTTATTGAGCAGCCTCGACTTGGGTTTCGGGGGACTCGTGAAGTCCGACTTCGGATTCCATCAACCAGGTAAGCAGCTCCTCTTTCCTGCACGCAGGGCTAAGTCCCTGTTCTACAAGTTTGGCATTCAGGTCCCGCACGCAGAGTGCACTGAACGCAGGAGAGGCTATAGTATGGAATGGGAAACGTTGCAGGTACAGGAAACCGCGAGAAAATTTGGCAGAGAAATAGTGTTTGAGCAAACAGCAAGTGAGTGTGTTTAACAACAGAAGAACAACGAACATGAGTGCATTCGCACATGGGATCAGATGTGCTGGTGTGTTCAGCTGACAACAGAGCTAGAGGGGGGGGGGGGCACACTCCTGTGTGGTGGTGTGAACTGTGCACGTGCGCAGCGGCGTGGGCAGCTCAGTGACAGTGCTACGAGTAGATGTGGAGTGCACTGTGTAGTAGCGGCAGTGCTGCAGGTAAACGTGGAGTGCCATGTGCAGTAAACGCAGGCAGACAGGAACTGAGAGATTGTTACGTGCGTGTTAACTACAGTAACTACTACTACGCATGAACTGAGATATACCGTATTTCCGGAGCATAAGCAGCACTTTGAACACTCAAAAACCCTAAAGAGTGGCGTGCGGCTTATACTCCGATGATCAAATTGACGGTGATAAATTAATAGGATAGATGTCTGTATTTCGTGGCAAAAAAATGGGAGCTGCGGCTTATATTCCAGTGCGGCTTATACTCCTGAAAATACGGTAAATGCCGACACAATCTTCGGATCTAGTGACCATTCGACTACATACTTTCCTCCTGGTGAATGTCGGCAATTCACCGATATTTTTTCTCTTGCGTCATCGATGGCGGTTTTCCGCAAGTTTGACTACATTTGTATGACAGTGTGTGTTTTCTGGCTATGTTGAATGCGCTGTACAGGGCGATGATGCGCAAGATTGGCTTCAAGAAGCACAAGTTCTTCTTGTACATCCGAGGTTCTCAGGTAATGTGCCCGCACTCACTAAACTTATGTTGTATACAACCTTTGCTGATGGGTGATATCAATATACATCATGCTGTACTCCATATGTGGAGTAAGGTACTTGGAAGTATGATTTTATAACCCAGCATTTTACCTTCCCGGCCGCCTTTCCTCAATTTCCGTCTTCAACTTGAAGCTGGCTTCAGCACCAGTGTTGTTTCATTACAGTGACCTGGATCGTGCCTTTGCTTACAGTGTACTGTAACTGTGATGCGGTCTTTCATTACAGTGAACTGTGATGCGGTCTTTCATTACAGTGAACTGTGATGCGGTCTTTCATTACAGTGAACTGTGATGCGGTCTTTCATTACAGTGAACTGTGATGCAGTCTTTCATTACAGTGAACTGTGATGCCGTCTTTTATTACAGTGAACTGTGATGCGGTCTTTCATTACAGTGAACTGTGATGCGGTCTTTTATTACAGTGAACTGTGATGCGGTCTTTCATTACAGTGAACTGTGATGCGGTCTTTCATTACAGTGAACTGTGATGCAGTCTTTCATTACAGTGAACTGTGATGCGGTCTTTTATTACAGTGAACTGTGATGCGGTCTTTCATTACAGTGAACTGTGATGCAGTCTTTCCTTACAGTGAACTGTGATGCGGTCTTTCATTACAGTGAACTGTGATGCGGTCTTTCATTACAGTGAACTGTGGTGCGGTCTTTCATTACAGTGAACTGTGATGCAGTCTTTCATTACAGTGAACTGTGATGCGGTCTTTTATTACAGTGAACTGTGATGAACGTTTACCAGTAACGTTGGACTAGGAGAAGCATTACAATTGGCAATGTGATCGTATCGCTCTTCTTGCAGGGTCACCCATCACAATCAGGTGAAGTGCCGACGGAACAGCCACCGGTGGTTGGATTCATTCTGCCGGACTATCGGTCGTGCAAGGCACTGTGGAAGACGTGTGTTGCGCACCACACCTTCTTTAGGTGAGCTCAACAAGACAACAAGACTGGCTATGTTGCCAGAGTACACTATAACACGTTATTTTTTTGGTGTAACTTAACCCACCTGCTACCACCTTCAACTTTAGCCTTCTAACTTTCCCGCCATTGGTTTTTTTTTTTTTTTTTTTTTTTTTTTACTATGTTCACATTCCCAGCTCGAAAATAATAAGAAAGACAATGATACTGAGACTAGGACGAACGTGACAACTATTGAGCAGGGGCTGGTTGTGGGTTTCTATGGTTTTCTATGTTCTCAGGCAGCGGCAGCCATCCCAGCCGCCCAAACTGAATGGTCTGCTGCGTTTCGGGTCAAAGTATCGCTACAGGTGAGTTGAGTTGATCCTGTGCGTGCTCAGTCTGGGGAAGGAGGGCATTCTGTGCATCTAGGTGCTAAGGAAGGTTACCGTGGAACTCTGCTAAAACATACCTCCATGGGGAACAGGAAAACGTTCCCAGGATCCAATGCACTTCATCATCCAAACAAGCAGTTGTGGCCAAAGAAATCCGGTGCGTATGCAGAAAGTAGCGCCAGGGCTCATGTCATGGGCCCCACACGGCCCTCGGATGGGTTTTTGGACCTCGCATCACGTAACTAAGATGGAAGCATGGGGCTACTTTTGACTTGCGGCTCGGATCTCTCTGACCACGGCTGTAATTCAATATCGAGCACTACGCACGATCCCCAGACAATGTCTGTACTTGGCAACTGTATGTCCTATTGCTAATCAGAGTACGAGTACGTACTGGGTGAACTTACTGTGAGAGTTAGACCATATTCGAATTACTGTGTATCAACAGGGTTTCACCAGTCACCTGTATCTAGTTTGGTCGTGACCGTGTCTATTATGGGGGGGGGGGGGGGTGCAATATTGCCATGCCAACACAGGTCAGCACGAATGTTAGTGATCGTAGTATTTGGCGGAGTTCACCCCGCAGGAGCTTCCCTAGACTAATGATCACTACTGCTTTCCTAAACACTGTATGCTCCGGAGTATAAGCCGCATTTTGAACACTCAAAATTCACCCAAAAAGAGGGGGTGCGGCTTATACTCCGATGATCAAATCAACGGTGATACAAAATTAATAGGATAGATGCTATGAATAAAATAATATGCGCACTCATACTTCGAACATACAAGGCAAGTGCATGTAGGCATGTCTAAAGGTTTTCTACTTGCCTTGTATGTGTGAAGTAACATCTTCATCATAGGCGGTTGCTCATGCCGTGCTCCACTTCTCCCCGAAGCTGTCCACGATTTTGTTTAATTCCTCCTCCGGTATGTCAGCGCACTCATCATCACCTTCCCGCATCGCTGTCTTCGTCGCACCGGTTCTTTCAAGTGTGCTCACTGGACAGACTCCCAGGGAACATTTGTATTTTCGTGTTTCCCGTCACCACGAGACAGTTGAAATGAAGATCACGTGCTCTTGTGCGGAGTTGAGTTGAAACTCCTCCACCGGTTGCGAGGCTGTGGTATTGACACATAATTATGTCGCTTCCGCACTTCTTGCTATTCTCGTTGAGAGTGCTCAACTTCGCGGGGAAGACGTTCGTGCATTTTTGGCCACCGGTCCTGAAGCTGCCGCCCGCCTCAACGATGGCGAGACGCGCACAACAGATTTAATCAGCAGAGCACCGCGTGTCAGAGCAGAGAGAAGTAGGAAGAAAGGTCAAAACTTGGTACATGTGTGGGCAGAAGAATGGGAAAGGCGAACAGCTGTAACATTCCGGCAAAAGGAATGGCATTTAGTTGTGTGTAACAGAAGGAGTTGTAGGCAACGAGCGTGCAAGAATACCAGGAAGACAACTGTTGATAATGGCATTCGGCTGTATGTACAGATGAGATAAAGGAGTGCAACGGATTCGTAGACAACAGCTGTTATGTGAAAGGCGGTTGAAAGTGAAGTGCCTCAAAAGGTCTGCTGGTATTTCTAAGGTCAACCTAGTGTGTGGGAACATGACTACAGCGTGAAGGTGCGGTCGGTGTTACAAGTCATGTGCATGTCATATGTGTACTAGGTGACCCCGTGATCAGGAGACTCTCTCTCTCCCACTAACAAGTAACAACATTATTGAACTTTCTCCGGGACGACCTCAGAGGTCTAGCCAGGATTTTATGCCAGCCGGCCAACGTTCTAGTGAAAATGCATCGTTTTGGGGGCTGCGCCCCCAGACCCCTGCCATCAGTCACATATCCAAACAGACACACACACACACACACACCACTACAAATCGTTCATTGCACCTTGCATCTCCTTTCGCTTCGTCCAATTATGGACATTCATCAGGCAGTTGTGACAGTGTGATTATAGGTAAATTAACAAAATATGAAAAAGAAAGCAAACAGCTACATGAGCATGGATCATATGTTCACCAACGTCATGTCTGCAGTGTACATTGGTCATCTGACTTGCACAACAAAGAAAGGCAGTAAACATTGGTGCAAAATGGATCATCAGTGACTGAGATTAAAGTGATAAATGCAACACATTGCGGTGAAGAAAACGTATTCCAACGTTATGTAATAACATAATGAGAGTGAGACAGTAGCTGAGCTAGAAGCTAAGCGGCCTATTGCACATGTATCATATTTACTTCCTCCTGAACATGTCCGTCAAGCACACTTGTTTCATGCGTTGCTG